AAAAAAAAAAAAAAAAAAAGAAAATTCTCTGGCTAGGCCCACCGGCAAGAAAGGGTGGAGTGGGTCTGAGGGCCTAATACATGCTACGTACTCCCTACCTTGAATGTGAGGTGACAGGGCTCAGTCTATCACAGTAGGTGAAGGCAGAGAGGAGGCTTGCCAGAGGCCTGGCAGTACAGCAGGATGGAATGGTGCCTGAGAACTGTGGTTTCTCTCTGGGAGATGGGACAGGGTGACACTGCCCACGGACATGGAGGTGTGGGGTAGGACGCCAGGCTTCCTGGGGCGGCCATGGGAGGAGATCAGCAGGCAGGAAATGTGTCTAGGCAACACTCATGTGCAAGTGGAGACTGCTGGCTGATCCCCTCTCTACGACCAATAGACTCAGTTGGAAGGGGCGTGCAAGGAACCCACGCTGAACAGGACCCTGATGGGACCCCACACTCTTCCCCGCAGGAGGGGAGGGGAGACTCAGTCACAAGATATAGGGCAGCTTCTGGGACAGTTATGGTGGGGAACTGCATTTTCCAGGCTGCTGGTGTCTCAGAGCAGAAGGGCCTGCTTTAAAGATCCCCCGGCCACCTGCAGCTCCACTGGGGAGCAGTGACCCGACAGTCTTATCCTTCTCTTCTGAGGCTGCTGCTGATGCCACACAAGGGGACTGTTGAGGGGAGGCCTGTGCTGCCCGGCTGTGTCTACGAAGAGGGTGGCAAGCTGTGCTCTGGGCCACATAATTACATAAGTAAGGTCATCCTTAATTAGCCTTATCAGCAACAAAACCAACATTTGACCTGACTCATATTTTCCCACTGGTTCTCCGTAAAGGTAGGTGTGAAGTATTTCACTCAACAGGAGACCAAAATACTCAAAGAAGCGTATTTCAGTCCAGGCAGTTTGAGAAGCCACATACCAATTCCGAACTCCTCTTCTTGGGGAATATTTCAGGCCTAAGGAACAACCCAGAACGATTTTAGGAGTGCTCATGCTAAGAGCACACTGGGAGAAGGACTCTGCTTTGAAGCCATTCTCCTAGCAAGTGAGCGGACTCCAGGTCATCGCAGGCACCAGGGCTCTCCCACCTCTGGCTGTGCCACAGCAGTGCTGCCACATGGTGCTGGCCAGGCCTGCACCTCACCTGGCCCCTGGGGAGTCCTGTCTCTGTAGCTTCCCTGGGCCCTCCACCTCCATCACCTGGCAGAACCATGCCTTGGTGACATGGAGCCACGCCCTGTGGTAAAGATGGCACTGTACTGATGACATCACAGCTCTCTCTGCCTTGAGACTGATGCCTGGAGCAGAAACGGCCCTTCTCAGTACAGTTGGCGTGAGAGGGAGTTTGGGGGAAAGTGGCCAATTCATCAGCAGCTGACTTCAGGTTACTAACTTTATGCTGACATTGCTGCCAGACCACCAGCACAGCCAGCAGGTTGAGCAGCCCACACACTGCCACAAGCCTTCCACTGCACAGGCACCTGCAGGCCGTGTGCCCTCCCCAGACACGCTCACACAGACACCACCGAGAGGCTCTTACCTTGCCTCCTGCAGGACCACGCACAGCGAAGCAGAGGAGGGTGGCAGGCGTGGTGTTCCCCTCGACCTTGAACTCTGCGAAAGCAGCGGCATGGCCTTCTATGGGTTGTGAGACCTTCCTGTCCACAGAGTAGAGCTGCATTGCCCCAACCACACGGTTTTGCTGAGAGAAGATATTTCGCAATGAAAGGGAGAGAAAAGAGATGAACAGAAATAAACATGTTTCTAAAATGACAGTCTCATGTTGATTCATCTCCTCTAGTGGAAATTAAATCATCAGCTATTTAAGGGATGATACAACTCTGATGTAGAAAGATACAGCACATATCAGGGAAAAAATAAGACCATAAAAAGAAAGATGATTCTCATTCATTAAATGTGTGTGTGTGTATTTTTTCATAGTAAATAAGTCTTGGGCCTTTTTTATGGTGGGGGAACAGTCTTGCTCTATTGCCCAGGCTAGGGTGCTGTGGCATCAGCCTAGCTCACAGCCTCACAGCAACCTCAGATTCTAGGGTTCAAGCTATCCTCCTGCCTTAACCTCCTGCGTAGCTGGGACTACAGATGCCCACCATAATGCCTGGCTAATTTTTCTATTTTTAGCAGAGACAGGCTCTTGCTCCTGTTCAGGCTGGTCTTGAACTCCTGAGCTCAAGCGATCCACCTGCCTCAGCCTCCCAGAGTGCTGGGATCACGGGTGTGAGCCACCACACTCAGCCCAAGTCTGGTGTTTTTTTTTTTTTTTTAATCATTTGGGATTCACTAAGGGTACAAAAAATTAGATTATACTGATTGCACTTGTTAGGTAAAGTCCCTCTTATAATTGTGTCCTACCCCCAAGAGGTGTGCCAGACACTGTGACCCCCCCATCCGTATCTCTCCTCCCCTTCCCTGCTCCTCATTCCCCTGCTCCCACCTTGAACTGATTTGAGTTTTTCTCTTGTGCATTTTGGAGGTAAAAATTCTAAAACATTAACAGCAGTTAAGTCAGGGGGGTGAGATTATGGCCTATTTTGAAAATTATGTGTTCTGGCTTGGTGCCTGTAGCTCAGTAGCTAGTGTGCCAGCCACACACACCGGAGCTGGTGGGTTTGAATCCAGCCAGGGCCTGCCAAACAAAAATGACAAGTACAACCAGAAAAAAAAAAAAGAAAGAAAGAAGTAAAAAAAAAAAGAAAAAACCAGCCAATCATTGTGTGTACAGAGTTAAAAATTGTAACTAACACAGAGCCTGTTAAAAACAAAACAAAAAAACAACTGTTGCCTTTTTTCCTTGTATAAAAGAGAATTTATGACAAAAATTTAGCTGTGAG